TGTGTGTGTGTGTGTGTGTGTGTGTGTGTGTGTGTGTGTGTGTGTGTCAGCGTGAGGGAGCGCTAGCCGACGACGACTCTGCAGACATGGATGGAGAGAATGGGCGGGGCTTTGAGGAGTACGAGTGGGCGGGGCAGAAGAGGATCAGAGCGACGGCTCTGCTGGAGGGAGGCTTCAGAGGTACGAACCCACACACACACACACACACACACCTCATGTCACGCACTGCACTGGGTCTTTATGTCACGTCCGCTTTGCGTCCAGAGGCAGGTTGTGCACAGTTGCCTGCTCGTTAGATGGCCGACAGAGTCAGCGGTACGCAGATGGGGTCAGCCCAGTTCGTCCGTCTCCTCCTCCGCTCATCCATCATCCCCTCTGTTCCCGTCCAGCATTGAGCACTGTTAGCTCCGTGGGACCGCCACTGAATATGACCAGGGAGACCGTAAATGATGCCAGCGGTCCGGCGGCAGCGTCAGTTCGCCCGGGGTCAGCCCAGCTCAGCTAGGCTCGCCCCCCCCCCCCCACAACCCTCTTCGCTCGGGGAAGGAAAACACATTTAGCTGTGCAATTGACCCACTGGTCACCACCGCCTGTGAGTGTGTGCGCCCAGAAATGCAATTATAGAAGTGGATGGGAGAGCTGGTCACTGGGGAGCATGGCTGCTGTGTGACACGTCTCACCTACAGTGGTAGCTCTCTGTCACCGGTTCTTCTTGGTCCTCCTGCTTTTATATTTTCAAACTTGTATTGTTGTGATGTTTAACTATTGTTCCTTGAGCTTAGCTTTTTTCAATTTCTCAAAACAAAAAAAAAAAAAAAAAAAAAGGGTGTCTGGACAAATATAACAGCAACGATTAAACGCCGTGCATGTGTCATCACACCCTCCAAATATTAGATGTGAATTTTAGTTTATGTGAGATCTGAACAAACTCAGTGGGTGTAAAATGTATGCTGCCTAAATATCTGGATACCAATACTGAAACGATGCCACGGCAAATACATAAAACTTAAGGAAAAGTAATGGAAGAATAGATGACAGTAATCTGATGTCCCTACTCTTGAGTTTATGTGATTTCTTTGACGGTTAGTCTAATATTCTAGTCGGTAACGTTGCTTCTTGAAATCATAAAGAACACTTCCTCAGTAAAACCATAACACGGTTGGCTCAGTCTTTGTAGGAACGTTTCCTTCTGTTTACCGTAATGTCTGAACACACACAGTGCACACAACGGCCTCTCTGTGTGGAGCTCGGTGTGTAAAGAGACAGAAAGATGGAGGCCGACCACCGAGAGGCGCACCGATGGAGGTAACGAGCCGTCGTCATCTCTTAAGAGGCCCTTTGAAACCCTTTGGCCTCGGCCACGGCTTTCATCCGTCCCCCTCCCCGCTTCTGTCCCTGTTCGATCCGTTGTTAAACACACACATGCTGAGCCTCACCTCCCTCCCTACCTCCCTCCCTCCCTGTGAGCCTGGAGAGAGCGGAGACAAGACAGATCAATGTTGAAATCTCAACTAAACCGCGCCAGAGAGCGGCTCGTTTGGGAGCCTCCATCCGTCCATCTCCACGATGCTCCCTCCTTCCGCCCATCTTCTCTTTCACGTCGTTAAAATGAGCAAACACAGGACCCTTCTGCTGCGCTCTAATAGGGCACCTTGTGATGTGACACAGATAACTGAGGTGGCCTGGAGAGAGCGACTTGAAACGCTCACACACACTCACACTCGACAAAAGGCTCAGAAGGTGGATTTTGTCTTGAAAGCTCCTCAGTGGTTCTAACAGTCGCCGCTGAATCCTGCAGGCTCTCGAGAGCCAGCGGCCTGCCAGACGGATATAGAGATGTTGCAGTGGGGGGGGTCTCCTCAGCTGGCGGGATGAAGAGAGGGCCTATCCCTCTGTGAAGTGCCACCATCCTTCCCTCCCTTTGAGAGCGAGAGGAAGAAAGGCAGAGGGAACGGGGCCCTTTCAAGGGAGGGGGAGGGAGGGAGAGGGAGGGAGGGAAAAAAATCGAACAAGATCAGTTTATGATTCAACTCTGTGTGAGGAAAGACTTCCCTGTGTCTCGCACCGGCTTATCTGGGTTGAAAGGACCCGCAGCACAGACAGAGAGCTTTCTTTATCTCTCCAGTGGACCGTCTGTCTGTCGAAGTCCAAAGCTTCAACTTTGTAGGATACATTAGAAAGTCTGTATTTAACGGGGGAATTGCTTTATTACAAGTTTTCATCATAATCTCATGTCTTATGATGGGATGGTTTGAGGTTTCCATTTTTTTTATTATAATCTAGCACCAATATGAGACCTGAGTTTCTGTACTGATTCCAAAAAGATTGTTTTTTTGTTATATTTCACTTTATGATATTTAAATGTTTTTGTGCAAAATAATTTTTTTCATTTATCAGAAGTAGCCGAAGTTCTCACAAAACAAGCAGCACCAGAAAAATACTTTGCCCGAGTGAAATAGTCTAAATTTCGCAAAATGTAGTGAAGCCACAATAACAGTCCAAAATGATTTTAAACAGCAGCCTAAAAAAAAGCAGCAAATCCTCACATCCACAACATATCTGCCATTCTTGTATCTACGACTAAATCCATTAATCAATCCTCCAAATCTCCACAGACAGATGGAGAGGCAGACAGATCCCGAGGTTTGATACCGGGCCGTCCTGAGAGACAGAGGAGGAGGAGAAGAGGGGGATTACTGCGGGTCTAGATGGCCCACGGAGGGATTGAGAAGAGGAGAAATCTGTGCTTTGTAAATGGACTTCAAAGATGGCCGGCTCATATCTTTGTGCCTGTGTCTCTCCCCCCTCCTTCCATCTCCTCCCTGACCTGTAAATGGCAGAAAGATAGCGCGATGGCCTTTGACTCCCCACCTCTCTGCCTCTCAGAGGGTCCCGATAATTGCCACGGCAACGGGATGTCGCCGAGGTGGGTCGATTGGTTACCAGTCAGCCCGACGAGTCCTCTCATCCCGCCCGCCTCCTCGGATCTGTACTCGGTGGTGTCGCTGCGCTGACGTGTATGTAGATTGGTCGTCTCCGGCGTTGCTGTCGCGAAGCGTGTAACTAGTTGGCGTGCTAAGAGCCAACGATATTCAGGAGACGGTTATGATAATGAGACTCACCAGGTTGACCCTGTAGGAGTCGCTGTGTGTGTGTATTGATCACGCCTGTCTGGCAGAATAGAGGACTAGTACAGGAGAGAGGGGGGGTATGTTTGGGTAATGTGAAAGAATAAAGGTAAGAAAGAAAGAGAGCGATGACACAAAAGAAGGTGAGGAACGGAGAGGTGGGGTGGGGGGGGGCGTCGGTGCATAATGTGAGTGAAAGGCAGTTAGAGTGGGGCTGACCTTTCCCTGGCCAGATTAGATTGGCCTGCCAAGACTGCTTAGAGGGACAGATAGGAGCACTGGGACACACACACACACACACACATATATGCTCACAGTTAAAACACCTCAGACATGAACAGCGCGCACACGTGCAGAACCTCCACCGTGTCCGGTCAACATGCTTACGGGCTGGAGAGCAACTAGCTTTTACCTTTAACTGCAGGATGCTGTAAGAAGTCTTTATGTATTTACATGTCTTATGATGGGAGGATTCAAGGTTTCTTCTTTCAATTCTAGCGGCAATATAAGACCTGAGTTTTTGTACTGATTCCAAAAAGAGTTGTTTTATTATATTTTTCTTTTAAGATATTTAAACGTTCACGCAGTGTGTGCACATGTTTATTTGTCGGTGAAAAAAAAATGCTCCAACTTCTTAAGACCCAAACCAAAGTTGCTGTGTCTTGCTTGACAGCCACCGGCTGATGAGAGTGAAGGTGATTAGCACCAAAGCAACAACTCCAGCTCAGGCTCACTTAAGGTAGGCTGACCTTTTTTAAGGTGGACCGGCGCTATTATCCTTTAAGTGACGAGGCGCTCCTCTGAGTTTTGCTCGGATAATTGCTTGTCGTTGCGGTTCACACAGACTCGCGTCTAATGCTGTAGTTCCAGAGACGTCGCTGTCCGACCCAGGGGCATTTTGGGTAGGACGGCTCAAGCTTCTGTCATAGGAATAGCCGCTCAGTAGCCGAGCAGAGCCGGCGGGTTGCTAGATTTACGCTGCGTTGCCATTGTTCCCCATATGTTCCCCTCTGCTGCTGGGACCAAATAAAAGTTAAAAGGTCCTTTTTATGTGATCACTAAAAACCATGGGCCTGTTGTAAAAACGGCTTAGCATTTGGTGGCGCGTTATTTTTTATTTTATCACAGCGGTTTGCGGCCGCTCCACCCTCACGTTCCCTCTCCTCCCTCCTCGTTTCTATTCTTCTCTACAGTGAGAGTGAAATGAATTCCACAGTTAAGGAGGAGATGTTTAAACTCCCAGAAGGTCCTCGGAGACGAGCCCTAGCGGCTGCTCTGACAAAGACGCCACAGTGCAGCGAGACACTGCAGTGCACCGGGACCGACTGTTATAGGAAGTCAAGTATCGAGACTCAACACACACATACTGGGACAGGGGGTTAAATTAGATGGCTGTCAACTCTGCAGAGCTTGTATCTGGTCACACACACACACACACGCACACTTGTCACATGCGTACTAGTCCAGCTGAGAGCTTGTAGAAATTGGGATAGGTGTAAATAAGATGGCTGTCAGGCCTGTCACTGGTAGACACACACAGACACATTCACAGTCACATCTCAAGTGAAACACACACACACACACACACACACCTCCAAGTGATCAAATAGTAAGTAACATACACACACACACCTTGCCTACCTAGACAGACACGCTGTAAGTGACAGGTAGACAGACTCATGCGTGCACACACGCACACCTTCAAGGGGCTGGAGGGTCTAAGTGACATAGGGAGAGACAGTCTCAAACAAACACTGAAGAGACGCCCTCTAAGTGACGGACACGCACACACTCACGCACACACACACACAGCCGGCGCGGTGGCTAAGTGGAGCTGAAGGGAGCAGTCAGGCAGCGGTAAGGGTTTGTCTGAGCGTTCATCACTGGGTTTATAGAAGTGCCACTCACACACACACACACACTCTCCCTCTCTTTCTCTCAGAGATTGACGGCTGAGGTGTCCTCAGTTCACCCCCTGTCTAAACGCCGTCTCTCCGACCAAATATGTTTCTGCCTCCATCCGGAGATCTGTAATTGGTCGGGAAAAAGTTTGAACAGAACTAAATTCAAGATCTCAAGTCTGGCTCAAAATCCGTTAATAGAGGTCTTAAGAGGCCTTCTTCTTATTTCCCGTCTTTTGCATTTTTTTATTTTATATTTTTTACGCTATCGTTTTACATATTTTGCTGGATCTGAAACATTAGACCCTCGATACCGTTTTTTACTACTATTTATGACATTTGCAGTAAAGCAAACAAAAGACAGAATTGCTATATTGCTCAGTTGTGCCGAAATATGTGACCTGCAAGCTGTGATGTTTCTGTTTTATTCACGTCGCATTGGCTCACTTGAATGAAGTGATGAGCGATGAAGCCAGTTTTTGCTCTGCGATTTGTTCGTGAAACCAATTCCAACGCAGGTTCCAAATACCACTATGCCCCGATCATAAGAGCAAAAATATATGAAATAAAATATTTCAGAATGCGATGCGACGCTCTACACATAACACCCAAACTCCTCTTATTCCTACTGTCCTACTAAAGTATGAAAAAAAAAAAAATCATGCTGAAAATTCTCCTCATCCTTATTTCCACAGGAACAGGTTTTGCCACGTGTAGCATCAAGGAGAGCGCGGCAGACAGCGACGCCGACCTGGACGTGGACGGAGACGACACCCTGGAGTACGGCAAGGCCCAGTACACAGAGGCCGACATCATCCCGTGCTCCGGAGCCGGGGAGGACCAGGGCGAGGCCCGGGAGAGGGAGGCGCTACGGGGAGCCGTGCTCAAGTAGGAGGCCTCGACCGCTGCACGGTCAAAACTAGCAGAATAGTGGTTTTAACTGAAGTGAAATGAAATGCGCCACTGAAGCTTCGCTCATACCAACGTGTGTGTCTCTGTGTTGCAGCGGTGGGATGCCCTCCAACAGAATAACGCCCGAGTTCTCCAAATGGGCCAGCGACGGTAAGATTCTACAAAATGCAGTTATAGGATTTTGTTCTCCATATAAAGTATACATAGTCACGCACATGAATAGAAAAGTCGCCAAGAATGATGTCACCGTCCAGCATTGACCACCCCCCCCCCCCCCCCCCCCCCCCCCCCCCCCCCCCCCCCCC